TTCTTTTCGTGAGCAAAATACTTTATTCAAACGTACAGTGTTTGTGATTACTAAAACTTCGTCTTTTTTTTTGACTAATATTTAACTGGCTTTGATAAGAATACTTACGCTTGTTAGCGGAACAGATAACCTATTTAGGATTAAAATAAAGTATAGTCGGTCTATATATGCCAGAAACCTATCCAATAATTGTTATTTTCGTCCGAAACTTCAACCCTAGTCCTTTTCACGATTGCATCGAAAACTGAAGCTGATCAAAACATCGATTTTGTTACTTATTCACCTACCATTTTTGGATTTTTCTAGGCTTTAAAGCATTTAGGAATAGTTTTTCACAGTTAAGCTGACTTAACTGTTGCACGTCGTACTCAGAGAGACTAGAGCTAGCTTTTTGGAAAGTTTTCTGGCATATATAGACCGACTATACTTTATTTTAATCCTAAATAGGTTATCTGTTCCGCTAACAAGCGTAACTATTCTTATCAAAGCCAGTTAAATATTAGTCAAAAAAAAAGACGAAGTTTTAGTAATCACAAACACTGTACGTTTGAATAAAGTATTTTGCTCACGAAAAGAAGTTCAACACAATTCTTTCATTGTGCAGAGTTTTGAAAAGCTTATTTAATGATATATAATTCAGATCAGATCGCTGATTTAGAAGCTCAATAGAAGGGAAATTTCGCCACGGTTCTTCTCTTAGTGTATATATGACTGAACATCATCATATGAAGAAAAAAGGAGAAACACAATGTTTGACCCCACTTCTATATGCCATTCAGTAGAGGAAAGAATCGGTAGTCATGTTATATATAATTCAAATAAACAAAGTTGTGAAGCAGAAGAAAAACTTTTCATAGAAATATTACATAATATCAAGCTAGAAAGGATAGATAATATCTAATTTGTAGTCAATTTTGTACAGCCTGAATGCAATCTAACTGTCTGATTCGTAACACAATCGACTACTGAGATCTAAATTGATTATTGAGAAAATAAGAAACTGAATTTCTAAAGGAGATTGATTTCATTGCTTAAAAATTCCTTCCATTCTTTATTTTATTATTGAATTTTTCTACATGCTTTGTAGGAACTTTGTAATAACCTCGGAAATTTCGTTTTTACGAAATCTAAACATAACTCAGTTAGCCATGCCATTCAACAATACCTTAATTGATGATGAGAATCTCTCGCCAGATGATCCCCTATTCTGGAGTCGTCCAACACCGGTGAATTGCAATGCAGTTCGAACCGTTGGAATATTATTATGTGTTGGCGCTCTTGTCGGTATTATTGTCAATGGCGCTCTTGTGGCCAGTTTCATTCGCTACAAGCCTCTTCGTTCGCCGTCCAATATATTTATCATGTTCATCGCGGCTATGGGTCTTGTCGCGTCATGCACCATTCTACCATTGACGGGTACATCTTCCATCTATTGTCAATGGATTTTTCAACGCGCAGGCTGTATATTGGATGCTGTTATTGCATTCTTACATGGAACTGCTAGCTGCTATCTACTCTGTGCAGTAAGTGTTAGTCGATGCTACATCATCGTACGACCCTTCGATGCAAACAAAGTCACTGTGAGTATATTGTTCATTCGAAAGACAAAGAAAGAAACGATATGACATTCTAGGTCAAGAAATGTATAATAATCTCATGTGTACTCATTTTGTTCGCTTTCATCTGGACAATTTTGCCGCTGATGGGATGGAATGAATATACGATAGAGGTTTGTTTCCAACATTTTCCTCTAATTCTACTTGAAACGATGCATTTCAAGAAATTATCAAGCATTGTTGATTGAAAAATATTGAAGAGTACTCGGTGTTTTGAAAGATTTATAACAAAAGATTTCAATAATATAAAGCATAAGTTCAATAATTATTGACTTGAGGATTTTTTCAATATTTTTTGTGAGATATAGGCTTTGATAGAAACAAACTGAAGACTATTCGTATACATGTATAAATATTCTATCTCAACTGAAGTGAGATATACGACGTTTTTACAAATTAGAAGTAGAATATCCAAGAAAATAAAAAATGTGAGATTCCGCGAGTTGCGTATTCAAATAGTTAGATACTAAGAAAAAGTCTATTGAACAGTAGTTTTATATCTAAATACTATCGTCAAATTTTTGAGAAACTAACTAAAGAAAAGAATTGACTGCTTTTGTAGAGAGCTCGTATTTCATGCTGTATTAACTGGCAAGATCAACGACCGTTATACGTCTCATATACACTTTCAATATTTGTCTTCATCTATTGCATTCCATTGCTCATCCTCACCACAACAAACACAATAACAATGATTGGAATAAAACGGATGCATGAGAAAATTGAACGTGGTATTCAAACAGCTCTCAGTGTAAGACGAATCGAAATGGAACGACGTATTGTCAAAAGTAAGCATTTTCTACACAAATAAATCGAATTGTTATACAGAGTTGAGGTGGTAAGAGTTTGCTAGAATACATCTGCTGTACTAACACACATACATATTTTCAAAGAAATACTACGCAGTTTACATTCATGGGCACATACGTGGACGGATTTGTCGAGAGATAACAAAACTCGGTGAAACATTTGTTAGAAAATTATTCGAGCAGATTTGAAAATGATGATGAAAAAAATATTATCAAGTTTTATGCTGGGATTACTGTCTAAAATATGACTTGTCTAGAAGATGCTTGAACGAAATATTTTTCTTTGGAAAATGAAAAAGTTGAATTAAGTAGAATGATTTTGTTGTTTTAAATTTCAACTAGGTATCATTATGACAACATTCGGCTTCCTTATTACTTGGACTCCATATACAATCGCGTTTTTCTTAGCGGCATTTCGTGGTAAAGGTTATGGCACACCACCGGTGATTGCATTCCTTTGTGCTTGCTTTGCCAAATCATCAGTAGTTTGGATTCCAATTATTTATGCTAGTACATCAACACAATTTCAATGGAGCTTTGTCAAGCTCACTGCATTAGAGGGTCTAGACCCAACCAATCGTGTGGGTCCAGGGTATACACTAACCAACATGAACCAGGGAGCAACGAACGCACGTGAGGGTGTCAAACCTGGAAATCAAACCACCATCCATTAACAGTCGAAAAATTTTCTCCATATCGATTGCTTTTTGTCCTTTATATAAGTTATATATATGTCAAAGCTGTCTCTAAAATTCAAAGGCTTTTTAAAAGCAACTAGTTGACCCTTCAATATTTTAAAGTCAACTCTGACATATATATGAACAATTCAGAAACAAATCCTCTTAATATTGATTTCAACTCATTTTCTCTTAATAAACCGTATTGCATGCCTCTGATGATTTTATTGAATTTCAAACGACACACATGTCTAAACGATAATTCAGGCGAACTCATAGTTTAATACAGATGGTCGATATGGAAAACGAAAGGTTGTCTACAATCCATTTACAATATAAGTTGTACTGGATAGTCGGCATGACTACAAAAGCAAGCTAATCACAGCATTATTACTTTCTCTACTGTTTTGAATTGAGAATCCCAGATGATAGGACAATTGTCATAAACGGGTAAAGATTGATTACTATTGAGTATATGCAATAAGATTCAAGAAGTTTTCATTCTCATCTGAGAACCTACTGTTCTTTTCGCAGATGAAAACAGTTTATGGCAAACGAAACTATGCCGAATGTTTATGCGGAAGAATGACAAAACTTAAAGAGAATAGTTGCGTCTCATGGGTAAAAATCTTTTGAGTGTGGTCGAGGTCAAACTCAGAAAGTTTAGACACGTGTGCAATTCGAGCTTTTTTCACATGGAATTTCAAGACTTTTCAAAACGTTCTCAAGGTTCTTTCATTATGTTTCAAGGGCATCTGTACAAAAAAATTTTGTGAGCTACATAATTAAAAACGATCGATTGCATCTTTTGAAGTTTTCTCTCAGACAATTGTGCTTAAATTGAATGGGACATAATTGTTTTCAGAAACTTTCGTCATACTTGCATGAACTCTAAGCATTGTGATTCTGCCAAGGTACTCTAAAAAATGTCAGAATATCGAAGTCCANAAGGTTCTTTCATTATGTTTCAAGGGCATCTGTACAAAAAAATTTTGTGAGCTACATAATTAAAAACGATCGATTGCATCTTTTGAAGTTTTCTCTCAGACAATTGTGCTTAAATTGAATGGGACATAATTGTTTTCAGAAACTTTCGTCATACTTGCATGAACTCTAAGCATTGTGATTCTGCCAAGGTACTCTAAAAAATGTCAGAATATCGAAGTCCATCACAATCTTTATCAAATATCTTTGCTTTGATTTGTTCTGCTATACAAAATGAGATAGACAGACTGCGCGTTGGATAGATAGATCGGTAGGTAGTTAGATAGATAACTAAGTGTTAGTTAGTTAGTTAGACAGATAGATAGATAGGTAGCTATGTATGTAGTTAAGTAGATAGATGATAGATGGATATTTAGATAGGCTGGTTGTTAGATAGGCAAATGGTTATTGATTGAATAGACAGATAGATACGTGCTTATTTAAGTAGATAGACAGTTAGAGGGATAAAACAAGTACTTAAATAGATAGGTAGGAGATTAGGTGGGTGGACAGGTGGATACTTAGGTGAGTAGATAGATAGTTAGATAAAATATCAGGTAAGTAGATAGTTAGGTAGGAAGATAGACAGTCAGATAAATAAAAAGCTTGCTAGCGCAGCCCCTTTGGGGCTGAAATGTGGAACTCACATATGTTCTTCAGCTTCGTTATATTAATACGAAATACAGAAGGTGAAAAATAAAGAATTTTTTATTTTTCGTTTTCTGACGGGCGCCCTATTTTTTATTTTCATTGTTACTATTCGCTCATTATTTTTTTTATTTTTTTCTAATTCGTTTTTCTTAATTTATCAGTCTTATTATTATAATCATTGAACTGATTGACAAATAAGTGTGTTTTACATATCTATGATATCTACAGCAGATCTTACACACTATGATATACATTAATCAAGTCACAAATAATGATATTCATTATTTTTCAAAATAATAACTTGATCAATTTTCCAAAAAAAGAAGCTAGAAAATCTATCATGTTTTATATTGATTAATGGGGGGGGGCGGGGGGTCTACAATGAAGACCTACGTTGCTAAGTGTCTGTAATGGGGGCTTCGGTTGCTATGGTGTCTGTAATGGAGAGGGGAGGGGGAGCCGCGAAAATTTGAACTTAAAACTTACACTCACTATTTTCTTCGAAAATATATGTGAGTTCCACAAATGTCTTGAATCCGACTAAAAATGCAGCATCTACCTTTATTAATTGTAGAATAACTGAGGCATATGCCCATGGAAATGCATCTAGCGCGGATGTTGATAAAGAACAAACTAAAAATGTAGATGCGAGCCTACGTTGCTGATTTTCCATCCACTATTCTGAATAATCATGCGTCAAACTGAATCATTACAATATAATAAGATCAGAACAGAAATACTGATGCCATACGTTTATTCTTCTCTGATAATGATATATTCAGAGCTCAGATGCTGTCGAGTTTGAGCTGTGAACTAGGGTAATTATTTACAACCGGCAAAAGTAAAATGTTTTACACAGGATACAGGAATAAATGAGTCGGCTCAATGTTTGTCATTCAATTTGATAAAGAAAAACATGCTGATTTTATTTCTTTTGGAGGAAAAGGGATTGAAATTTGCATCGGTAGGATGAATAAGAACCGTTGACATATTTTGTCTTGCATCTATTTTTAACAGTTAGAGAGAAAGATCGATAATGGTACTTCTGAGTCGTGTACTCCATTTCATATATTTGATACCCTCACTACTTAGTTCCTCTCAAATTAATCTTTATCTGATAGATTGGACCATTGATAATATGAGTGACGTTGCACTACAACACGATTGTCTATACGTTGCCACCAGTATTAACAATGAGAAACAGACTCGTCAAATCGTTTCATATTGTATGAGTGAATGGTCCTCAAAGTGGAACATACAGAAAAATAATCTTGATCAAATTTTTACCTTTGCGGAGCTTAATAAACTACAGATTACTAGTCGACAGTTATATATCTGGTCGGCACCAATGGATCTTGCTGAGAGATACCAGTTTTATTTGAATCAACTTCCAATTTCGAATGAGACATCGATGAGTACGCAGCTCTTCTACAACTGCACATTGCCACAGTTTGGTTCCATGTGTCAATATTCGATTGATGATTATGATCCTCTTCAATCATCATTGAATGAAATCATTTATCAATTTTATTCGCACCAATATGAACCGACTACATTTACATGTTACGTCCATTTACAATGTGATCGTGGTCCAACTCCGTCCTGTCTCGACTGGAGTGAAATTTGTGATGGAAAAATTGATTGCATGGATGGAGGACGTGATGAAGAATACTGCTGGCAACTTGAAATCAATGATTGTGAAAATAATGAATATCGATGTACTAATGGACAATGTATACCATATGAATTCTTTCGTGATGATTCCCTTGTTCCTGATTGTCTTGATGGATCCGACGAAGTTTCAATATTTAATGAGAAACTTGCCTACTGCTACAAAAGCGAACCAACGTTTGCATGCGAAGATATTTTATGTATGACGAATCTTCAATATCTTAATAGTCCTTTGACGAGCTCATGTGTGAAACAACGTAGTGATTTGCTTTTAAAGACGATGTTTCTGGATAAATCAGATTCAATATCTCATTCCTGTTGGTTGATACTAATATGCGTTCTTGATATTCATCCTACATTGATAAACAATATGTGTTTGTCATTTTGTGCAACTCAAGCATGCGAAAAAATAATTGAACAAACCTGTCCAGATATGCTTTATGTACCAGCAGTTCCAATTTTGTTTAGTCAAGTTTACATTGCATACACAAACAAGAATATACATTTCTCATATTGGTTAGAAAATAAACCTCACTACATTTGTTTTAGTGGTCAACTCTGCAGTCAATATTTCGTGAAATATCAATATATCATATTTAACAATACTAAATGTTATCGCCCTGAGGATTTAAAACTACGTCTTTCTTCAGGAAAAGGTACTTGGCTCCAACTTTATGTTACACCTATATTCCAATTGCTGCATACATGCTATGAAATGATAACTAATGATTCAGCACTGTGTAATAGATCAACTATGTATCAATGTATAAACTCATCTAAATGTATCTCTCGAAATCGTCTAAATGATGGCATTATAGATTGTTTTTATCATGATGATGAGCAATTTTATATGGTCAATAATACTTGTTTATTAGAACGATTCGAAAAACATTTCAAATGTACAAAAGGCAATCAATGTATTTCTCAGCGGCTTGTCAATGATGGCGTGTGTCAGTGTGATGAATATGAGAATGGATTATGTGATGATGAATTTTCCGATGTTGACTATGCTCGAAATCATATTTCCTTTCAGACAATATGCGATGGTTTTACTGAATTGATACAGATGACTATTGATGGAAGAAATGAAACAGATGAAACAGAATGCGAACAATGGCAATGTAATAATACATACACACGCTGTGATGGTTTTTGGAATTGTCTCAATGGAGCCGATGAAATCGATTGTAATTCATTACCATTATTAGATTGTCCTCTTCACTATCACATTTGTGTATCATCTGAAACGAGACAACTTACATGTCTATCAATCGAAAAAGCTAATGATGGCAAAATAGATTGTCTTGGTGCCACTGACGAACCCAGACTGTGCCGAAAAAATCATTATTTAGCTGTTGACAATAATTTTTACTGCAAGAATGACAGCCATACAACATGCATTTTTTCTGAAGATCTCTGTGATCGTTTGGACAATTGCAAATATGGAGATGATGAACAAATATGCGACGAGAGTCGAAACTTCACAAGTGATAGAAGTGTTTGTTTAGATGATTTTGCCGAGATGAGGTCTGATGTCGAAAAGTTCCTTTGTGGACGACTAAGAGATACAGCTAAACAACAGATTGTGCACTTTTCACTCGGAATTAATCGAAACTGGACTACTAACACAACAAAATCAAATGAAAAAAAGATTCATTCACATTCATTTAGTCGTCAAACTATTCAACGTTGTCATCGCGGTTTTGAGTTACGAGTCTGGTTAGACAAACAAAAGAATATCACAACAACAACATGTCTTTGCCCACCAAGTTTCTATGGTGACATGTGCCAATACCAAAATCAACGCGTAAGTCTCACCGTGCAATACAGAGCTTTATCTGATGCGTGGCGGACACCATTTGTTCTTGTTGTCATGCTTATCGACGATAGCGATGAACGAACTATACATTCTTATGAACAGTTCACTTATCTACCAATGCGAGATTGTCAAATCAAATTCAATTCTTATTTGCTCTATGCAACACGGCCAAAAAATCCGTCAAAAAACTATTCAGTACATATCGATATCTATGAAAAGTTCTCTTTAACTTATCATGGAAGTTGGCTATTGCCATTGAAATTTCCATTTTTGTCCGTGCATCGTCTTGCTGTTCAATTAGATATACCACACAGTCTTGATAGTACCAAAATTTGTTCAGATCGACAGTGTATTTATGGACATTGTGTCAGGTATTCGAATAATCAGGATGGTTCTACTTTTTGTCAATGCAATCACGGTTGGTCTGGACGATACTGTACAATCCCACACACTTGTACGTGTTCATATGATTCTCTATGTGTTGGTATATTAGCTAACAATCGATCTTTGTGTGTTTGTCCGATTAATCGATTCGGTCCTCGATGCTTGCTCGACAATAAATTGTGTGAACTCGATCAAAATACGACATGTCTCAATGGTGGGCAATGCATTCCAATTGATGAACATATTGTATCTAAAAACAAATTCTCATGTATCTGCTCAAAAGGTTTTTCTGGAGATAGATGTGAAATAGCTGATAGTAAAATCATTGTTTCATTTCACAAAAATATTCCTCTTTCACAAGCAATGCTTGTACATTTCATTCGAGTGATCGATAATGCTCCAACTGAACGTGCGACTACTTTCAAAACAATTCCTGCTCATCAAAACTCAATTATTATTTATTGGTCACGCCCATTTCATCTTGTCTTTGTCGAACTCTTTAACAAAAGTTACTATTTAGCTGCTATTCAGAGAACATTCTATCCATCAACAACAATTGTTAGAAAAATCAATTCATCGAATCGTTGTGAACACATAAACGAGCTATTTAATGAAACAATCATCAAATTACACCTTCTTCGTCGTATCAAATATTATCATGTTCCATGTCAACGACATTCACCAAAGTTATCTTGTTTTTATGATGATATTCATCTTTGTTTATGCAATAATCATGGCTCACATCGTGTGGCTAACTGTTTTGAATTTGATCATCATATGAAAAGTGATTGTCTTGGTCGCAGTGGTTGTGAAAATGGAGCTCAATGCTTTCAAGATAGTTCAACTTGTGCACAAACATCGATTTGTGTATGCCCAGCTTGTTTCTATGGAGTACGATGTCAATTTAGTACCAGTGGCTTTGGTCTTTCACTCGATGCGATTTTGGGTTATCACATTATACCACATCGCAGCATCATACATCAGTCATATGCTGTACAAATTAGCGCAGTTTTGACTGTTATCATGGTTATAGTAGGACTGATCAATGGTGTTCTCACTTTGATCACTTTTCAAAGTAAAAAATTACGTGCAGCCGGTTGTGGTTCGTATCTGATAGGATCATCGATTACTACTCTACTGACAATGACTCTGTTTGGTATCAAATTTTGGTTACTTGTGAGTTCACAAATGGCACTGACAATCAATCGACTCTTCTTATATGTACAATGCCTATTGATAGACTTTCTTCTGCGCATTTGTCTCAGTATGGATCAATGGTTAAATGCATGTGTGGCTGCCGAGCGCGCAACAACTGCTGTAAGCAAAGTTAAGTTTGACAAGAAGAAGAGCAAGACAGTAGCTACATATGTGATTATTGCTCTTCTTGTTCTGACAATAAGTACAGCTATTCATGATCCTATTCATCGACGCCTTTTTGACGATGAGGATGGTGAAGTGAAACGAATCTGGTGTATTGTGACTTACAAGTCCAGCTTTCAACTCTTCAATTCGGTTACTTACCTCTTTCACTTTTTTATTCCACTTTTCATCAATCTAATCTCGGCTCTAATCATCTTGAGATCAAATACTAGACAAAAAGCTATCGTTTATCCTCATCATACTTATCAACAGCTGTTGCGGCTACAATTTCATCAACACAATCGTCTGATTATAGCTCCATTTGTCTTGGTCATTCTTGCTTTTCCGCGTGTGGTCCTTTCTTTTGTTTCCGGTTGTATGAAATCAACTCATGATTCATGGTTATTCCTTATCGGATATTTTGTTTCATTCATCCCACCGATGGTCACATTTTTAGTTTTCATTTTACCGTCAAAATTATATAAAGAAGAGTTTCGCAAGACTGTCAGTCGCTACTGGAGGATGATATAAATGTGTTCTATACCTCGATATGTACACAGGTAGATCAAACGGAGATGTTTTCATCTTCAAGTATTTTTTGTATGAAGAATATTTATCTCTAATCTTATTCGAGTTTTTCTCGAAAAGAATTCCTCTGGTAGAAGCTATTTTGCATATGAAAGATTAGTTTTGACATATTCATTTATTAGAGCGATAGGAGCAAGATCAAAGATGACTTCAGGGTAAAATTTCTGATCGAGTATAATATCAATATATATGCTAGTTTCATGTGAAATTCATGTTCGTTGTAGGTATAATGACCAGTCCAATTGGGATAATCTTTATCAGAAAGTGGAAGTTGATTGATTTTATTTTCATCCTACTTACAAAGATTTTGGCAAGGAGAAACGAAGCAATATTGACAAAGATTGATAGCACGAACACCATATGACTACTAATTTGTTCGCTAGTCAATGAATTTGAAGGTACCAATCACAAAAAAGTCTTGAAGTCTGATTGTTGAAAGTACTTTCCAAGATATTGTTGCATGTTTCAATAAATAAGCGTTTGAACGTATCGTAGCTCGTTTAGTACTGTCCAGTCATTATTACTGGATGTATTATCCTGATGTAGGATATGCTTTAGTGAAAGATCATTTCCTTCATGCTTTGTCTTTTTCGTTTAGGTCAAAAACTTGATCATCGGAGAAAAAAGTTGGACAATCAACTCGTTACGATTGCTACATTGAAACAAAAACACTGTTACTATTGCATTGTAATTGTAGTTAAACATGTCTTTTCTTTTCGGCTTATACTAATCTTCTATCACTTCTACTCTTAATTGTTGAAGAAATGGTATTTCAAAAGAACTTTGAATGTTGTACTTTATAGCTCACCATATTATTGTTCATATACTACTCTAGATAAAGCAGTAAATGGAAAAGTTGAAATTCTGTTCATATCTTCACAGATACTGCAAAAACCCACCGTCACTTTTCACTGCAGGTTCTCTATTTATTGGTTGCTACGATTGTTCTATTCACATCTAAGAGGAAGTACTGACGCTTTAGTGAACCGAAATTTTTCATTTTTTTAAAGTTTGCTTCCTCGTTTAGCCAGAAGGTCTTGACTGTGGATCAAAATCCCGAATCCTGCAAGTCAATAAGATACAAAACCTGCTCGCTATCTTTGACATGGAAAAACTGAATTACCATGCAAGAATAAAAAAATGAGAGAGATTTATAGATTATCGATATTTTCTCATTGTTCGGAAGGGTCACGAAAGCATTGAGAGTGCTGAGTATAGATGAATGAGAGCGATAGTCTTCTCTTCACTGACTCACTTACCCACACTTTTCTTTCTCTTCCTATCCGAACGGTCAAATTCGTTCGCTAAATCGTTGATTCGGTTTGAAGCAAAGGTCCTTAATGTAGTTCTCACAGATATTATACAGAAGATTATATTTTCTTGTTGTTGATCTCACTCAGCTAAAAGCGGTAATAGAGTGATTAGAATAGACAAAGTTGGTAGCTTCTACGGGTGTGGCTGGATGAGGGTAAGGGTGAAATGCACACACGAAGTAAAGTCTGAGTCAGAATAAGCGCGGAAAACATATCACACTAACGCATTGCAGTAAGCTGGGGTACCACGAGAATACTAGCACATGTGAAAACTCAAATTGGCATGCCAACAACTCAGGATACCATATTAACACTATCATATCCATTTGCACAAATAAGGATATCGTGGGAAGAGACACACACTGCATCGCACCGAAGTATTATAAGAGCACGAAAAAGGGTTTTGTCATTCCAGTGATTACATCTATAATGTCATTCATGGCGATTAGGTTCATTTTGCATGTTTGTTGAATATTTTGGAAATTAAATCCTTTTCTTAGTGAGTAAGTTTAGGCATGAAATTTTACACAGGGTAAACTTTGTCGCGTCTCTTGTAATATAGGACGTAGTTTCACGTTCGTATCAGTCGTAAGTCGTATTAATCCGAAGAGTCATCTGATGAACGCCAATATCTTGTATTTTTATCAACACGGTATATGAATTATGATTTAAAATTCAAAATAATTACTTTTTCTACTTTTCTACTGCAGCTATGAGATAACCCAATCTAAGTTATTATTTATAATTTGAATAAATTTTTTTCTCCTTTTCTGTTACAGCTTTGCGGTAGTCCGATGTAAGTTGTAATTTAAAATTTAGACACATTTTTGTCTCATATTCTGCCGCAACCATAGGACAACTCAATCTCAAATATGATTTTTATTTCAAATAACAGGGTATGCGTGTGTGAGTGTGGGTTGGTATACGTGTGGCATTTTCTTCATCTTCATCCACACCGACACACCCACATCCACACCCTGCTTGTTGGGCCTAGGCTGATTCTTACAGTAAAACTTCTTTTTAATGTATCTTCGGCCAGATATGGAACAGGTCCGATCGGTTGAAACCGATTTATCGGAAAAAGTTGATCTGACCGGTCTACTGGCCAAAACTAGCCTACCGGTACTAAATAGGATGTTGATGATACGTCAGTGTAAAAGAGAAAATCGGACCTACTGACAAAATATCGATCTACACACAACAGGCTGAGGCTTGAAATGAAATCTTGTTTCATAGTGAACTCTCTTGCGGGCTACCATTGTACTTTCACGCATACTGGTATAATGTTTCACTGTTGATAACAATAGTCTCACCGATGAGCATTCTGAAAACTGTTTTGTAAATAAATTCCTGTGTGATCAGTGGAACCAGTCTTGGTGCCAGTTGTTTTTTCATATGAATATCATCATAGAGCAGGGAAGTGAAAAATATAGACCGATATAGAGCGGTTTCGACCGATCAGACGGGTATAGACTAGTCGACCCAAAATCCAGACCGGTACCGGTTCCATCTCTGTAAAAGATTGAGTTTAGTATTAAGTTCTATTTTTCAAATCTAGTATTTAGCTTACATAAGAAAATGTTAAAACTGTATTGTTATTATGTAGCCTTGGATCAAGATCTTCAAACGATGTTGGTGATAATTCATCTCCATCAGTGATTTCAATGAATTCATGAAAATCGATTTCTATATTTACAGTTGATGATTGCGTCTAATAAAGCATACAATTAAATTAATACAATCGTCCTGAAGCTCTTTCGAAAAAATATACAGATACTTTTGTTCCAGCTGATTTTTCTTGACGACTTTGCCGAACGAATGGTGATTTAGCTGTTGGTGAAGATGTAGGATCAATAATATCAGCTGCAATGACAGAATTTTCTTCTAAATCCGCAGCATCAGCACCACTACACGGTGTTGTACTCTGTACGAATTTATTACATGATTATGGCACAATTCATAGGATATTTATTTTTAAAATCGAGCATTACACTTACTTCTAAAAGTTCAGAATATCTATTGTTATCGTGTGATATTAAATCAATAGTTTCTCGTCGTGCTTGTGGTGATGATGATGAACATAGTAGCAGTAGCTATAGAATAAATATTAAATATATACAATAAAATCTCTTTATTGTAAAAGAGCACTTGATGATTTCTCTTTTCGTAAAATCAGTTTAAAAAATTACCTTTTCAGTTGTGTTTGTTGAAAATGAAGACGTGTTCAAACATAAAGTATCCGTTGAATGATGGCATTTTGCATAACATTCTCTGTGTACTTTTTCATTTAATATTATTCTTGATAAAGAAACACCATGTATATCTTCATATCCTTGTTTTAGTTTTTCTTCAGCATCAACACTAGCTATTATTGTGAGTAGATGTCTATAGATTTTTGTTATTCTGCAACATAGAGAGCATGTGTATGGCATTATTGCATCTTTTTGTTACAGAAAAATCTAAATGCATGGGACAAAATAATGAAATTCTTTCCAACAAATGGATATAGCAAAGTAGCAGATGAAAAAAATTGAATAAATTGAGCGCAAATTCACCATAAGCTTGTCGTTCTGTTTATAAACAATCATGACAATTTTGAAAATTAAAGAGGGAGACACAAATAAATTGTTTTCGGTCTAAAAGTCTAGTTTATAGACATCTCCGGGTAATAAAAACTATTTCATTCGATTTCGAATTAAATTTCGAATTTTTTGGTATCTGAATGATAAAATGGAATTTGTAGGGAATATACTATAAATGAAGTGTATAAGTGACGTTTGAATCTGCTAATAAAAGAGTGAGCCATCTGAGTCTGACAACATACCATTTCTTTTTTATACCATTTCATTTCCTGCTCTCGTTGATCATCCTCTACCCTCGTCCAATGGGAAAATTCTATCTTTATTGGGAGCTTTTACTCAAGATGTCGTTCTCCTACTATCTCATCCTTCTGTCTCTCTAGCTCAAAGGGCAATCGCAATGGTGTGGGTGCCGCAGGGGAACTTAACTCACTGCACTGGAAAAAATAATACTGTCAAACGAATCCTTTAAGATTTCATAGAGCTTTATTGTATACTTTCAAATATCGAGCCAGTCAAGGAAACCATTTTAAGGTTTAGTAACTAAAGAGGTTCCGTATTCAATCCTTTCGAGTGTTCGTAGCTCAAAGTGATTCGTAAAAAACCTCTTAGAGATATCCTTGTCAAAATGTTTACTACTTTACTGTTTCTTTTTTATGTACATTTGTGCTACCCATAGATGTTGACTTATGACCAGGCATCAGGTATCAATTGTTACATCTGTTTACTTATTTATCATTCTCTTTGCAATTCAGTTTCGATATTTTATTGCTGTTTTTAACTCACTCGTTTTCATGCCGACCTTTTCAAGGAACAATACAAAAGAGCTTCACTAATAAGATAATAATCTTCAGCATTTTCCTTGATGAAAAATACTGTCTTCTCTTTCAACCTTTTTTACGGACCTTCTTCATGAATTACTGTCCTTCTCAGTTTTATTTTAGTTTTTGCTGCATTGACCAGTCTTAACTGTTAATGACCTAAACCACAGACTTTGTGGCATATAATAAAACGATTATTTTATTTAAAAAAGTCTCTGCTTTTAATACAACAAATTTCGTGTCATATTACCTATCTGGCGATCATGTTAGTTTATAATAAAACGGCATACCTCATATTGAATTCAACTTACAGAATGGTAAGACACATAGAAGCACGCATAAATATCGGACTATAAATATGGATACAAGAGATGCACATGAACTATTGAGAGCTTAGGAATATGTATGAAGTTAAAAACAGACAGAGGTAATTATACATGTATACGCATGTTGTAAATTAAGTGCAAGATATAAGATTTACATAGGTATAAGATACTCAGATTGTGCATATAAAATATTAGACTATCGATGCCGCCTTAATATTACTATCGCATTAACTTATGCTGTTACCGACACTTTCGATTGCAACTGAAAGATTCATTGCACACTTTTCTATTAGTATTCATCAAATAATTTAATGCTTCGACATTTGTATTATGCGAGAGTTGGCATAAGACAAATAGTAATGATTCCGGTTAACAAAACAATCTTTTCTGTCAGATTTCAACGAAGTACATATATCTACCAGTAGCTTATGTTTACAATATAAAGTAGTTTCATTATGCTAATGCTAGCCTAATACGAATGCTGAAGTATTCAGTTACTTGTTCAACATTACTACAAGAGAGTTGAATTATTTCTTCATAGTCAAACCAAAAAGTGTTAATAACTTTTCATATTTACTCTCAATTCACGTTACCACTGTGGGCAGAACTCAGCATTTTAACACTTATCATATGTTCGATAGAGATATACGAGCTGATCAAAGTCTTAACTAGTGGTGGGATAGAGAAATAAGGGCTTAGGAATAGCAATAACAGATTATCCATAGAATTAGTGAGACAACGGTAGAAACAAGGAGTACAAAATCCCAATAAGAGATTAGACATAAAATTAGATGGTTAAAGGTATAAAAAGTTTCAAGGATAGGAATGAGGGGTGAGGCATATAATTAAGTGATCAAAGATAGGAATAAGGAGTTAACGATGGGTATAAGAGTTTAAGAATACGAATTACGCTTTAGATATGCTTTTAAGAGATTAGACAGGCACCTCAAGTGTAGATATACGTAGACACAGCTCGATTGAAGATGGGACTGATAGTATTTTTAGCATTGGATGGTATCATATGGAACTTCGTACGAAACATCAACTACGGAATCTTATCTACAAGTAGAGAGAAATGGATTTGTTCAAAACCTTAGCCACGAAACCCTCTATCTCAGCTTTAAAAAAAATAGTTTTGTATGAATCCTTATTCGTATGAAACTAAAAAGCGTTTTAGAATTCGTTTCAAATCTTGAAACTCTTTTAAAGTTTCGCATGGTACCTTTTTTATTTTCAGTGTATCTACGTGGAATACTTTTGATTTATCTGTTTGTCTGAAAATAATCTTTTCTTTTTTTTTTTTGCTCTTTTGGAAAACGTTGTAAGATCTTGTCATCTATGGGGTCTTGATCTACTTCTTCAGTAATCTGTTGTAGTATAATTTTGAATAATTTCTTTAGTTATTTTGAATATATTTACGGAAATTTTCGATCTTAAGGGATCACTTTCAACCTTTAACCTGAACAAATAAGAGATGTCATAAGCACAACGAAAAACCGAAAAAACACAATGAAAAATGTTTAAATAGTTTAATATATATGTAAGCATCATAATCTTAACACCATAATCTTTAATATTTGTAGTAAATTTTTGGTCTTATTCGTAGTGTATAACTTATAGTATATGGTGAATTGTATTATACATGATTTATTCTATTATACTTGATGTATTATACTTAATTTGATGTATTTTATCCGTTCTATACATGATTCCATCATATTTTACAATTATCTATGACATATACAAATTATTTACAATGGATAAGATAGGTTATGATATTAAAGTTTATAGTGTGAAGATTATGATGTTAACAGATATCCCTTGGCCAAAAATAGTTTTACACCGTATTTTCAACAAATCATTACTATAAATTAATATTTTTGGAAAAATAAGGATATATTCGGATAGCCCGAAGAATTTTCTACAAATCTATATATAAACATTTCGGATTGTACTAATTAGTAAAAAAATAAATTCACGTACAGTAAAGATACCCTCATGTCCAGATTCCCCAGAAAATTTTGTTTTTGTTTATTTTCATATATTTTTTCAACTTTTTTTTTATATAGAAGCAATTTATTACAAAAATAACTATATAATATACAAGTACAGCAAAGTCTTTATCATTCTATACTCTCCCAGCCATTATTAGATATTATTTGATTACAAATAGTTGATATGTGATTGATGTATCCACGTATAGCATTTTGAGAAATCGTATTCCATGCTTGTTCAACTAATCTTTCTAAATGCTGTTGAGAGCGTGGATGATTTCTTTGGACATACCGATTCATCCATGACCATACACTCTCAACNTTTACCTTTGCCGAGCTTAATCGACTACAGATCACTAGTCGACAGTTATATACGTGGTCAGCACCAATAGATCTTGTTGAGAGATACCAGTCATATTTGAATCAACTTCAAGTTTCGAATGAGACATCAATGGGCACACAGCTCTTCTACAACTGTACATTACTACAATTTGGTCCCATATGTCAATATTCGATCGATGATTATGATCCTCATCAATCATCATTAAATGAAATCATTGCTCAATTCTATTCGCACGGATATAAACCGACTACATTTACATGTTACGTCCATTTACAATGTAATCGTGGTCCAGCTTTGTCCTGTCTCGACTGGAGTGAAATTTGTGATGGAAAAATTGATTGTGTGGATGGAGGACATGATGAAGAAAATTGTTGGCAACTTGAAATCAATGATTGCGGAAATGATGAATATCGATGTAGCAATGGACAATGTATACCCTATACATTCTTTCGTGATGATTCTCTCGTTCCTGATTGTCTTGATGGATCTGATGAAGTTTCGAAATTTCAGGACAAACGCGACAACTGCGATAAAGGTGAACCAACATTTGCATGCGAAGATGTTGTATGTATGATCAATTCTCAATATTTTTACAGTCCTTTCACAAGCTCATGTGTAAAACAACGCAGCGAATTACTCTTAAAGGCGATGTTTCTGAACAAGCCAAATTCAATGTCTCATTTGTGCTGGTTAGCATTCATGTGCGTTCTTCATATGCATGATAATTGGATAGCTGATGCATGTTTTCCACTATGTGAAAATCGAGCATGCGGTGAAATAATTGGAAATACTTGTCCAGATATGCTTTACCTACCACCCATTCCAATTTTGTTTAATCAAGTTTACTTTGCATATACAAACAAGAACGTAGAGTTCTCCGTTTTTTCATCGGCTATACCTCACTATATCTGTTTTAATGGTCAACTCTGCAGTCAATATTTCATGAAATATCAATCTATCATGTTTAGCAATGCTATATGTTATCGTCCTGAAGATTTAGGATTAGACTTTCATCAAGGAAGAGCAACATGGGTTCATCTATACGTCATACCTTTATTCAAACTGCTTCGTACATGCTATGAAATGATAGATAATAGTTCAGCAATCTGCAACAGATCAACGATGTATCAGTGTATGAACTCATCTAAATGCATCTCTCGAAATCGTCTAAATGATGGCATTATAGATTGTTTTTATCATGATGATGAACAATTGAATATGGTCAATAATACTTGTTTATTAGAACGGTTCAAAAAACATTTCAAATGTATAAAAACAAATCAATGTATTTCTTATCAACTTGTCCACGATGGCACGTGCCATTGCCGTGAATATGGAAATGGTTTATGTGATGATGAAGTTACTGACC